TCTGACACTTCAAAAAAAGTTAAAAATGCGTGAAATAATAGTTAATGGCATAGTGTTGTAGAGTAGTTTTCTACAGTGGAGGCTTGTATTTCACTAAGTCGGTCCTAAAAGGGTCGACGTACAAAACGTTAGGAACTTGAAATAATAGTTAATGACGCAGCAATCTAGTTGTGGTGGTTGATACTTTAAGGTGCGACATCGACTGAATCACCAACTCCACTGAGCTCCCTGGCGACTGCTACTACTACTACGTATTATATGTGGAAGAGTCTATTACAATGAATAGGTATGTTCTAGTATACATACTATACATATGCAAAGTACGAAGACAAACAAATTTTCCCTATATCAAGAACAGGTAAAACAAAATGTTCTAATTATAATCAACATAAAAGAAACTACCACCAAGTCCATGCTATCGTTATGGGTCTTGAATAGGTATGTACATATCGTTCTAAAACTTGTCTATCATGTAAAAATTTGGTCATCTCACTGTTGGTATAGAAAAGAAAGCAGAATAAGAATTACAAGGACCGAAAACAGATGAGACAAATATATGTCATGTTAAATGCAAAACAGAAAAGTTAGGTTACAGCTGGATTCTGGCTCAGACTTAAAATTGCTACAAACATGGAGAAAACTGAACAAACCTGTCATGTTAAAAACGGATAAAATTGCTAGATCAGTTACGGGGAGAAAAATTCGAGGGTGAAATAATCACAAACGTAACATTTAACGGAATGACGAAAAAACTAAAAATGTACGTCTTAAGAAATCCCGAAAACCTATTCGGGACAGACTGGATGCAAAAATTCGAATTGTGGGATCTACCTATTAGCACCTACTGCCAGAATGTAAAAAGCTTATCAACCGAGGCAGACAAATTAAAAGGAAAACTAAAAACGAGTTTCCCCGAAGTATTTTCGGCAGGTCACGGAAGATGCAAGAAAATGGCAGCTAATATCAAAATAAAGGATAACGTTCAACATATTTTCAAGAAAAAAAGGAGTGTACTGTTTGCGTCAATAGAAAAGAATGACCAAGAATTATCTAGACTCGAAAATACGGGCATATTGAAAAAAAGTTGAGTACAGCAAATGGGCCGCACTGACGGTCTACGTTAAGAAGAAAATCAGGAGAAATTCGAGTTTGTGCTGATTTTTTTACAGGTTTGAACGCTGCAATAAAGGACTACCACTATCCGCTACCTAGTTCTGAAGAAGTATTCACTAAATTAAATCGCGGAAAATATTTTTCAAAAATTGATCTAATTCCAGCCGATGAAAAAGTTAAAAAAGTTCAAAATGCATAAATACACACAAGGGATTGTACAGATACCAAAGACTACCATTTGGAATTAAAAGTAGCGCCGGCTATTTTCCAGTAGACAATGGATACGATGCTGGCAGGACTAGAATACACAATAGCATATCTGGATGACATATTGATTAATAGCGAAAGCGTTGAACAACACTGGCAACATGTACAAGAAGTGTTTAAGAGAATTCAAAGCTATGGATTCAAAGTGAAAAGAAAATAAGTGTGATTTTTTTTCATAGAGGAAATTAAATATCTTGGCCATATAATAGACCAAGGAGGTAGACGTCCAGACCTTGAAAGGTCTACAGCAATAAAAAAACATGCCAGTTCCTAAGAACATAACAGAACTACAAAGTTTTCTTGGATTAGTGAATTACTACCAGGAATTTTATTCCTTAAATGCATAAACTTCGTGCACCATTGAACGAACTGCTAAAAAAAGAAAAAAGTTTGGCAGTGGACAGATCAATGCCAGGAAACATTTGAAAAAATAATCAAGACATTAACATCGGATTTATTTTTGGCACACTATGATCCTAAACTAGAGATTATTGTAGCAAGTGATGCGAGCGCCTACGGTGTCGGGGCGTGTATATTACATAAAATGCCAGATGGGACAATAAAACCTATCGCACATGCTTCTCGAACCCTACTACCAGCGGAGAAAAACTATTCACAAATTGAGAAGGAAACTGTAACAATTATCGTCGCAGTAACAAGATTCCATAGATACGTCTATGGTAGACACTTTACTCTGCAGACGGATCACAAACCGTTAATAAAATTTTTGGTTCAAAAAAGGTCTGCCGGTGTACACGGCAAATAGACTACTTAGATAGGGAACGATTCTTCTGAACTATAATTTCAGATTGGAATATTTACCAATGAAAAGAATTGGGCACGCGGATGTTCTGTCGAGATTTATGCCAACAAAGACAGAGCCATTGGAAGATACGGTAATCGCAGCCCTTAAAAATGAAGAAAACATAAGAACAGTACTATATTGTACAGTCAGAAACCTCCCAGTCATATTGCAAGACACAAAAAATGAAGCCAAAAATGACGAATTTATTAATGAAACAAAAGCAAAAATAGCAGAAAAAAATGAGAAAATTTCGGACAGCTTTTCCCTATGCGATAACGTGCTACTTTACAACGAAAGGGTTGTAATCTCCAAAACTTTACAAAAACGGATAGTAAAGGATTTCCACAGAGGACACCCGGGTAAAAATAGAATGAAGTCGCTAATGCGAAGCTATGTGTATTGGAAGAATATGAACCAGGATCAACCAAAAAAAATGACCAAATAAATTTTTGATTCTCATCATAACAACCAAATAACATCCAGTATAATCAATGGATTCTCCTTAAGAGAATTCAGAATTCTCAGCTCTCAGTATTATTAATCTTTAAATTATGCCTTGATCACAAGGTCATCCATAGTAAATTTGCACCCTAGCATTGTTCCTAGCAGATCTTTTATTATCTCAGTCTGGGATGTCCAATAATAAAAGTGATGGAAACAAAAAAAAAAAAGAATCTAAATGAAATTGTCTAGATTATATATATATATATATATATATATATATATATATATATATATATATATATATATATATATATATAAATTTATATATCATCTGTTATTTCTACGTGAAAAATATCAATATCTGAAGAAAATATAGCTGGTTTTACTATTTCATTATGAAAATAAATGAAAATTTGAAATGCAGCTTTTGTATTATTATATAAAAAATTTCAAAATGTGAAGAAAACAATTAAGAAAAAGATAAAAAGTTAAAATCTGAAGAACATGCAACTTTTATTTTTACACATTTTGATATGATATCACTGTTTTTCATATTTACATATAAAATATAGCTGTTATCCTTATTTATATATAAAAAAAACTCTAAATCTGAATAAAATATATCTGATTTTCATATTCCTATAAGAAAAATTCCAAGTCCTAAGAGAATGCACAATTTCTGCATATTCTTTATATAAAAATCTGAAGAAAATTAATTATTTTGCATATTACTCTATGAAAAATGTTAATAACTGAAGAAAATATGAGTGTTTTCCATATTTCTATATAAAAAAATTCCAGTTCTGAAACCTAATGCTGATCATAAAACAGTCCAAAAAACTCTGAAGAAAATAAAGCTGAATTTCATATGTATATAAAAAAAATTCAAAATCTAAAGAGATTTAGCTTTTTTTCATATTTCTATATAAAAAATTAAAATATGTATAATATATATATATATATATTCATATTTCTATATATGAAAATGTCAAAATCTGAAGAAAATAATACATTTTTGCATATTTATATAAAAAAGTAAAAATCTGAAGGAAATATAACTGGCTTTCATAATTCTCTATAAAAAAAATCAAAATCTAAAGAAAATATATTTTTTTCATAATTCTATATGAAAAGCCAAAATCTAAAGAAAATGGGGTGGTTTTGAATAATCCTATATAAAATGTCAAAATCTGAAGAAAATATTTTTATATTTATATATAAAAATGTTAAAATATGAAAATTGACTTCTATAAATAATGAAACATTGTGTGTGTGATAAGTATATAATGACTACTTGGAATAATATTCCATAATAATGGAATAATATTTTGAAATATCTTTTCTTGAAATCTTTCTACATAGAAAATATCATCTAAGTTTATTTAGTAATTACTAGCAGTAGAGCCCGGCGTTGCCCGGGGATGTAACAGTAAGAGATAGATCAAGTATCGACCATCATAAAGACTGAAAAATAAAATTGACAAACATTATTGTTTAAGGTTGACGGACACGCATGTCTTAATTAGTTTATTTTGTTGTTTTTTTTTTACGAATTGGTCAAACCCAAACTCAAACAAAAACATTGTTTTCAATCGTTATGAGTCTACCGATTGAATAGAATTTTATTATAAACAATTGTCTTGTAAATAGAATTTTTAAAGTATTCTGAATGTAAAAATAAAGAAAAAAGTGTGCAAGACAATAAGAAACACTACCTGCCAAAAAAAAAGTGAAGTTTTGTTGAAATCGGTTGAAAAATGTAGGAAATTCGATCCCATATATAAACGAACACACACACACACACAAACAACCTGGGTTTTATAATAAGTATAACACGATACGAGTTGTCCCCCTTTCATTCTCGTGATGCCTCTTAGTTGTGTTTTCAAAATGATTTCGTGCAAAAACAATTGTGTTTTTCAAATTTTTGGCACTGTCAGAACCACCACAAGGTAATTTTACGTAGTCCTGTGAAGTTTTGTTGAAATCGGTTGAAAAATGTAGGAAATCCGATCCAATATATAAACGTACACACACACACACACAATCTGCGTTTTATAATAAGTAAGATTCATGAAAGATTTACGAAATTATTATCAATTAAGAATTGAAAACATGTGGCATAATATATACAAATAAAAGATATAATTTTTTATCTAGCAAATTTTGTTCTAACATACTCCATGGAAAAAATTATTAAAAATGAATGCTTCCATTAATTCAATTATGAGTCATGTTTAATCTTTGTCTGCAACAGAAGTAAAAGTACATTTGGAAACTACACCATCATTGATATTCTCAATTGAATGAAATACACTATGCAAAATTACTAATCAAATAAAATATTTTTCTTGTGTGCTGTATTACTTACCAAAAGTGTTACTTTGATTTCGTTGTTTCTGTTCATCAAAATAATTTGCTTGTTGCTTTTTGCATATAGCTGCTGTTTTGGAGTTACCACGAACTTTGTATTCCAAATGAAGATCATTACAGCTAAAAGAATAAAATATTAAAACATTATTTGCCAAATAAAAGTAGAATTGCAGTGGAGTGAGAGAGTTCATGCTTACTGCTTCTATCCCTCAAATATTTTGATATATACAGTGAAAACGATCTGGGAAATAGAGATAAAAAAGACAAAATAGAAACAAACTTGATATGCATAATGAAATGCATTAAATTATTTCAATCTAAAGTGGAATATTTCATAGTATTTCAAATTATATTGTGGGGTAGCAATTTAAAATATATGAATCAAAAGAAAAATAAAACATTTAGAAAAATCTAGTTTTGATTTTCTTTAAAAGATTACATCATTTGATTTTCTTTAAAAGATTACATCATTTGAAAGAGGATAGAGAATATTAAAAAAAAATTCATTAGAATTGTTTGTGGCATATTATTTTTTGAGTTTTTCAGATTATAAAAATAATAATTTGTTTGTAAATAATTTTTTATTTCTTCATTGTTGGTTATTGCTTGATTTGTATTTTTGCAAAATAATGTTGAATCATTAATGTAGCTTTAAGTATTTTCTAAAAACATATTTTTAAATAAACAAATGATTTATTTTAATTTCATTCTAAGTTTCAAACAGATCCACTCAAACCAGATATATGATAAGCATATGAAATTATAAAGCTAAAATATAAAAGCAGATTTGTTTGACAAACTGTGAAAAATGAAAACTTCATGTGATCATTAAATATATTTGCATCAAACAGAGTTAGTAGTAAATAAATTAACTTCCAGCAACGATTCATAGTGCTATTCCCTATATATTGCTAATGATTCTATGTAAGTCATAACTTTTCAGTTATAGTCTTAGAAATACATATGACAAACATTTCACAGTATAAACTGGTGAAAAATTTAAACAAATTTTTATTCTCAACAAAATCATTGACTTTTCCTAAAATGTTCCTTTCATTGTTGTTTAAAATTGATAAAAATAATAAATACATAAAAACTGATCTGAAAATACAAACAGGCAATTAAAGTTGCAATTTCTATTTTAATTGATGCCTTAGCTGCTACCTACCCCTCCCCCCAAATTCAGGTAATTTTTAATGGTGTACACAATGTTTGTGAAAACATTTTGCTGCGACACTTTAGATCATTACTATTTGTGACTACAAACTCACAAAGCAAATACTTCAAAAGTGATTATGGATAATCTTCTTGGTTAAATGCCTCAGACTTTTTTTGTGTGACACCTCATATATAATTTACTTAAGTTCAAATTGAATCTCTTGTTTGTTCCAGTTGATAACTGCCATTTTTGGTGGCCATTGCCCTGCTGGTTTATTATGGCACCAACAAGTTACAAAATGTTGCCAACCAATCACACATTGTGAAGCAGGTGAGTTTAAAATGCCAATATTTTTTATATAGAATTTTATCATTCATTATGCATTTAAATAAGTAAATGAGATCATTTATCAATTTAATTATCTCATCATTTCTTTATGCAGTATTTCTTATTCTACAAAGCATTTTGTTACTATTCCAATTGCTTATGAATTATTGCTTATTACTTATTACCTATAATTAGTAACTTTATAGGAAATCCACACAAAAAGAATTTTTTAAAAACATTAGCTTGGTGCTTTTATTAATCTGTAAGCTGTGCAGATTTCTATGAGTTAACAATTGAACTAGTTTTAATGCAATATTCAACTTCATAATAAATCATTGAAATTTAATGACTTGAAGATAATTTACAGTGGGGTGTTGCAAAGTTCAGGCTTTGATTTTTGAATTTTCATATTATAACTTTGCTAGGCAATCAGTTAAGCATTTATGGGCTTGTAAAATCTGTGATACAACAATGGTTCAAATATTTATCATGTTATGTTTGTTCAATATGCTATAATGAATAAACAAATTAGTTAATTATCTTATATAACAATGAATTCAATATTTTCCTAATTGACATTTCTACTATTTAGACATGAGGATTGTCCTATTGAAATAACAATTAATGAGATGCCTTTAGTCAAAGGCATTGAAAAAATAAAATATTAATATAGACAAAAACTGGAAAAGAAAATGAACTAAATTTCAAAAAAGTCAACAACATAAATCAGTATTTTTATTTATAATTGATTCTAAATAAAAATGAATATTTTTTTTCCAAAGGGAGACATGAGAGTTTCTAATAATTAATTTATTTTAGGATTATAATGGTTTTATTGATTTCTGAGTCTCTTTCCCTCTCACTATGTACACATACATACACACACACACATACATACACATACACAGATCATCATAACTAAGGGTTTCAATGTTCTAGTATTGTTCAACTACTGATCACACAAGATTATATGCTCCCTCCCAGAAACTGTAATTTAGGTCCACGCAACATAGTTGCAGTATAAACTATGTGTTGAAAAAACACAGGCATCAAACATGTGTTGAAAAAACACAGGCATCTGCAACAGGGATTAGCTAGCCATCTTAACACATGATATACTCAGAAATGAGTGACTAGTCATTACTTATGTATATAAATGTAAAGTTAATCCTTAGAATTTCAGAACAGAATCTGAACTGCACAAGTTGAATGTAGAATGAACTTTTGCCACTAACCTTTGTCAACCAATGCTGTGGCTCCAATGGGGACTACTTTAAAGGAAACAGTAGAAACTTGCTACTAGAGTAATTTTTTTATATGTATATTTGCGAATATTTATAAGTTTTTTGATATTCTATATAGCACTTTCTATATTCTTTAAAAGATTTAAGACACAAGGCACTATTTTGATAGTTTTAAGCACAGTAACTGAGAAAAATTATTCCAAATGAGGAGAAATGTGACCTGTTTATGAAAATATATGATAGCCAAATGGCAGAAATTAATCATGTCCACTGTGTATTTACAGGTTGTGATGGATAAAGTGTCATCTAAATTACACAAAAATGAAAATAACACTGACATCTCATTTTAACAGATATATTTACCAAAACTACACAAAATTATCTTGAAAACTACCTCCTTGATGGCACTTGATGAAGGCCTCCATGTTGAGTCTGAGGCCCTGTAGAAAGATGAATGAAGGCATAACATTGCCATGATGTGGTGACACCAAACACCTCCATAATCATAATTAGACTCATCCAGCTCTTTCCCTGCACTGTCCTCAGATTGACACCCAAACACTTTGAAATGTTCATATTGGAGATTCTGGTGTGAATATCAAGCAGAACAGCATACCTTTTCCAAATTTCTGGTGGAGTGAATTGTGTCATGGTGATCTTGTTCTCACAGATACTGCCCCACTGATCATAATATACTGTGCAGTCAACGAAATCAAAAAGAAACAGCATGCATGCTTGAAATTCAGAATATAAAATGGCAACAATTTATCATCGCACCCTGTATGTATTGGATTAAGTGTTTGAAATGAATATTGGAATTGTAATAGTAAAACATTGAAATGTTTTGCCATTCTTTGCAAAACTGAGAAGTCCATTCATCTAAATTTCAAGATAATGTATATAACAATAAGTTTAAATAAAGGCAGAAAAAAGAGAATTAAATATAAAGACAAATTGAAAAGTATGAAAATAAAAGATATGATGTAACAGATATGAATTGATAAAATGTATAAATTAAGAAAATTAATTTTTTTAAAATCATTGTATTTTTGCACTAAATGATGAAAATGTTTGTGTTACAGCATTTATTTTGATTGCTCATTTTCTTTCAACTTTTTCTAATTTTCAGTGTGCAAAATATTTGTAAAATGACATTTACATTTATGCAAATATAGGTTAGTTGCTCTAGTAAAGAAACTCAAGTTTAAGAAGTTGGAGATATTAATGCAGTATTTCTTATTCTACAAAACATAGTATAGTAATGCAGTATTTCTTATTCTACTGAGCTTTTGAAATAGGCCTCAAGTTCTGTCCCTTGGTTACACCATGGGTAGGCCTGTAGTATAGAATACAGTGGCCTGAACTCAATGTGTGAAGAAATTGTTAACTGATTAGATCTTTAGATTAGGTTTAATTTAATATGATTGATTTTGAATGAACAATACAAAGTATTTGTGATTGTTTCGTTTTACATACTTAATTTGTTTTTTGCAGAAGCCATAACCTTCCCAGTCTTTATAATATTGAAAGGCACATGGTTTACAATCTCCTAGAAGAAACAAAAATAAATAAATAATGTAATTTCTTTAGAACAAATATATATATATATATATATATATATATATATATATTATATATATATGTATATATATAATAGATTTATCTAAATAAGTACCCATATTGATATCATGTCATTTTCAAAAAATACTTTTCTCTACTAAAGTGCAAGGTATACAACTGAATAATTACACACACACACACACACACACACACACGCACACACACACATATATATGGGAGAATATGATATATACATTTTTATATATCAGAACAATGGTAGGCAAATGAATGACAAAGTGGAAAAATTCTGTGTAACATATTTTGTAGGTTTTCCTGGTGATGTGTTGGCCATGTCTGAATGTAATTTTTTTTGTACATATGTATTTTGAGGGGGTTAAAAGGGAAGCATCAGTCCACAATGCGATTATAAAATTACAAATAAAGTCATATATGAGATACAACAAAATAAGCATAGGTAAAATGACAAAATGCTTTAGGATATGTTTCAGAGATTATTGTATATTTTAAAGAACATATATGTATACGGAAATAAAGAAGTTTTGATGGCAACGTTTTATCAGAGAACTGTCCAGGATGTCTGCTTCCTTTAGTGGTTGAAAACAAAGAGAGAAATTTTGATTTTTGTGTCATTTGGCAGTAAAATGCTTGTTCTGATGCATCATATAAGTATTTTATATTTATTTAACTGATTTTTTTATAATCTAACTTTTTCTTTCTTTATTGTTAATTACCATTCTTATCTGTATTTTAAAGTATTTGTATTGCTTAACTTTCAGTTGTTCTTGTATTCTTAATTATTTTCATTCCAGACTACAATGTTGTCTAGTAATAACTGTTGGGTGCTATTTAGTAATTTATTTGTTGCTTCATACAACTTCATCAAAATGCATTGTACAGGATTTATCGACTTTGTTAGTTATTTGCCTAACACACACACACACACACACACACACACACACACACACACATATATATATATATATATATATATATATATGAAATATATCCAAATGAAGTGAAAGAACAAACAGATTTAGAATCCACAATTCTCTGGCATTTACCTTTTTAAAAAAAGTGCTTAATACATCATAGAGCATAATATTTTTAATGATATTTTTATAAAAAATATTTTACATTGTGACATGGTAGAAATTTCTATGTTTCGAGATTTAAAGTTTTTATTTTTATCATCAGGCAATGTTCAGTAACTGTGGGGAAAATGATTTACATTTGAAAACAGAAAACAATATGTTTGCTTATTAAACAGTTAATAACAAAGAGTTAATAACTCTTTAATAAGCAAATATATTGTTTTCTGTTTTCAAATGTAAATCATTTTCACCAAAGTTATTGAACATTGCCTGATGAAGAGATAAAACTTTAAGTCTTGAAACAGAAATTTCCGTTTCGCAATGTAAAATATTTTTAATAAAAATATGATTAAAATATATATATGTGTGTGTGTGTGCGTGTGTGTGTGTGTATGTTTTATACATAAATATTTACATTGGTATCAGCACACAGATGACAAACTAAAAAAGCATCTTAAAACAGACTTTAAGTAATGAAAAGGGTAATCAGTTTTAAGATGAGTTGCTATTTTTTTTTAAATCAAGTCCACTGGTTATAACAAACAAAGTTTATTTTAATGAATTTAAATGAATTTAAAATGTTGGCTTAATTGCCGCCCACATCATGCACTGATTTTCTATTGTCTTTTTCTTTATTATCATTGTACAGAAAACTTGATGACAACAGAAGTAACATACATTATCAATTTTCAAATAAAGTTGATGATTATTACAAAAAGGATATCAGCCAGAAATTATTATTTGATGTTTATATTTTTTTTCATATTTTCAGATTTATAATCTTCAGAAGAATTTAACCTATAAATTCTTTACTTAAATTAAGATTAAAATTTTAGAAATTATTTTCAAATTATTATTACAATCAACAAAAGTTAAATAGTTTATGCGCATACCAGACTTCACAACAAGGATTGCATTTATTAGAGGGATTTAAAAATAGGGATTTTAAAAACCTAATCCTATCAATATAATTTTGCAATATTTACAGTGTATAACATCTTTAAAAACAGATAGAAAGGAAAGGTCTTTGGAATAGTAATAATAATAATAATAAAGTTTGCAGGTTTTATTCTTCATATAACGTACCACTCAGCTGCAACTCTGTTCCTTCTAGACAGTGTTTTCCTTCATTAAGACAAAACCTGGAATCATTACCAGTATAACCTTTTAGTAGGTTACATACACATTTGCCATTCTTGTCAGGTGTTGTATCTGTAAACGATAACCAAGTATTGAAGAAAAAATTAAATATATTAAAGAAAATGTTTAATTAATTGGTGTATGACAAAGTTATAGAAAAATTGATATGAGTATGGATAAAAAAAAGTCACATAGTAGAAACCTATAATGATGGAGAAGGCTACAAAAAGCTATCAAAATGATTTCAAGTGCATGTGCAACAAATTATTTATAAATGGAAAGCCTTTGGTATGACAGCATCACAATCAAGAAGTGGCTATCTGCAAAAAATAACTGCAAGAACATGTAGATATCATGTTTGACAACCCCAAGCAGATCCTGTTTCAACCTCTGTGGTTCTCCAAGGCACTCTGGACAATGTTGGAATCAATGTGCATATGTCAACAGTGCAATGAAATCTGAACACTGTTGGTCTCCATAGCAGAATGTCTAGAAAAAAGCCACTGTTTACAAAAAAGCACAAAAATCTCAGCTCCACTTTGCCAAACCTCATATTAATAAGCTAGAAATACTCTGGTAAAAGGTATTATGGTTGGATGAGACCAAACTAGAGCTTTTTGGGTGGAATGATAGGCAGTATGGCTGATGAGCTCCTAATATGGCTTTTGAAGAGAAGAATTTGGTGCCAACAGTTAGACATGGTGGTTGCAGCATTATGATATTTTGGGTGCATTGCTGTAGTTGGAACAGGCAAAATAGTACACATTGACAACACAATAGATTCTGCAAGATACCAAGCAACTTTGAATGAAAGTGTCTTGCCCTGGTTCAAAAGTTGGGTGTAGGTTTGGCTGAATCTTCCAACCTGAAACATCTAAGCATATCCACAAAAGAATGGCATCAAAAAAAGAAATTCCAAATCTTGGAATGGCCTAGACAATGTCCTGATCTAAATCCAATTGAAAATATGTGGTTCAGCTTAAAGAAGGCAAGAAACCCTGATAATATTGAGCAATTGTAGGAGTTTTGCAGAGAAGAAAGGTAAAAAATTTATGCTTACTACTGCCAGTAACTTCTTAAATATTATAGAAAAAGATGTTGTGAGCTAACAAAAATTAAAAGTAAGGGTTCATTTATTTTTGCATATTTTAATTTTAATGCTTAATCAATATTTTTATTCCAGCTTGATAAAAAATTTTCTAAATTTGTAATTTGTTTAATAAAGGTTTATTTTAATGAATATATAGTTTAATTGTTGACTATCTGTAAAAAAGAGACAATTTAAAAAAAAAAATCTTAGGGCTTCACTTTCTTTTGTGCAGCACTATATTCTCTCTCTCTCTCTCTCTCTCTCTCTCTATATATATATATATATATATATATATATATATATAATATAAATTTTTTATTTTCAAAACACAGTCAACAGTCATATAATACTAAATACATACATACAACAATCTATTACCATTAACAGTTAATATATTTCATCCTTGAAAATGGCTAAATGTATAGCCGAAAGCGCTTGAAAAATATAGCATTTGGACAGTTTTCGTATAATTTATCTACTGAAAAGAAAAAAATTATAAGATCATATGAGAAATTATATAAAAAAGTTAATCAAAGCACCTTGTCTGCCATATTTAATGAAACTTGCATGAAAGAAGGATTGCTGCCTAAATACACAATGTGTATATATATATATATATATATATATATATATAATTATTTATTTAAAAATGATTCCAAATCGCTACATAAGAGGTCTCATGTTTCAAAACAAGAGCCGAAAACTTCAATATAATCCTTTAAATTAAATTGAGTTGAAAGTAAAATGGGCTCCGTTCCATCTTCAAGCGAAATTTTTTTGTTGGAATAACGTATATCTGAAATTTACTTGTTTTAAAAATTGAAATCAAAATCCCCATGGTAACAGCTATGGTGAATTGTCTAAATTGGGTAGGCGAGTGTAGGGTGTTTATAATAAGTAGCGGTATAGAGATACTTTCAAGGTGTCAAGTCGGAGAAAGGTGGGGGTGTCAAAAATGAAAACGGAAGATGTATTGGCCATCGTCTAGTTTGCTTGTCTATGGAGATTTATTTATTTATTTTATTTTATTTTATTATGAAAGGGAATTGTGCATATAAAAAAGAAAAAAAAAAAAAAAAGGAAAACTTCGTAACGTTTGTTTTTTGACGACTTCATAAAGGGTTATTTTATATGTAAGGTATTTAAACTACTAATTTAGGCTATGGATTATGAAGTGTGTTATGTTGTATGCATGTTTGTAGTTAATTATTCCTACTATGAATCTGATGATTGGGCTATTTGTTAAACAAGTTATATAATTTTTTTTATCTAATAATTCAAACCAAAAATCTGATGATGCCGACAAAAAACTGTTAACTCGTGTCTATTATTTAATAGATTATTATTATTTAGAAGTTTAATAATGTGCAATTTTTCATGGAGGCACAAAGGGCATGGGTCATCCCAAGCTTTACATATTCTAGCCTTGTCAATAATTTTCCATTTAACTTTTGGTGTCTTATTTGTTTCCTTCAGGTGCCAAAAATATTTTGATAGTGAAGTCTGATTTCGTTTGTTTATATTATTAAAGAGGCACTTATGCTGCCTCAATCTATCTTTAAAATTATTCTTCGTGAACCCAATGTATATCATATTAGTGCTAGGTCTCTCTGTGGATGAAATAGTACATTGGTATACCACAGAATTAATACAACATTTATTTTCTAATGGGCAGTCTTCTGGGTTTCTACAGTTACATAATTTTTCCCTTTTATCGTCTGATTTAAGTGCAGAGTTTTTATTAATACTGTTTTGGCATGGGGGTTTGTTCAAGATCTTATTATTGTGTTTTTTTATTATGCGTTCAAGATTATCAGAGCAGCTGTAGTTCAATTTTAGGGTGTTCTTATTGAATATATTACTAAGCTTACTATTGGTGGGGAAGTGTTTATTAATTAGAGCTAAGAATTTCTGTCCTAGTTTAATACTAACCCTTTGGTTGAACGGAGGGGTGTACCAAATGATATTTCTTTTCCTGTTTTTTTTCCTATGTCCAGTGTAATTTTCTCTGTAGTTAATGTTAGCATTTTTATAACCACTATTTTTTAGGGCAGTGTTATAGAAGCTATTGTGTTGTTGGAATATTTCCCTGTTTGCGGAGTTAATGCTAATTCTATTTTCTATTGATGGGGATATATGTTTAATTATTGATGGAGGATGGTTTGACTTCGGGTGTATGTATAAAGGGTTAGCATTTGGTTTTCTATAAGGTTGGTATGTGTTGCCTGGTAAGTCTAGAGTTACGCCGAGGAAGTTAACCCTTTTCAAATTAGAAGAGACAGTTATCTTTAAGTTTAGTTTCTTAAATTCACTAAATATAATTTTTCTGATTTTTTCAATCTTAAAACTAGTAGAACTCCTCACCACCATGAGCCCGTCATCTCTATACAGCCCGATGTCCTTAACATCAATTTCGCGGTGTGCCGTTAAATTGTACAGTATTAGGAGACCAACAAGGTCAGAAGACTCTGCAGAGTCTAACGATCCCATAGTGATGTCAAACAGGTCGTTATTGTTTTTTATCCATTGGTCCCCATTGTGAACGAGGACCGATTTCTTTGCGCTGAGGATTATATCCGTTTCATCCTTTGTTAGGTTAGAATACACAGCAGCAAAGTCCAGGGCAGTCATAAATAAATCCTTCGAAATTGATGGGTAGTAGTCCACGATATCGAACTGTATAAGGGTGCAATTCCGTTTATCATCAATATAGTTAAACCAATTGATAACATCTTTAGTGTTGATCCATAATTTTAATTCCAGTTGTTTTTTTATTTGGCAGGTAATTTTTTCCAGGATCCTTTTGCTGATCTTTCCTATGTCGGGTCGGGTAGGGTTAATTATTCTGGTCGCAGGGTGTTCTAAAAAGTCAGGCTTATGATCCTTAAGAGTTATATAACATTCTTTTTCAGTAAGTTTACCTACTCTATCGCTGATTTTTAATTTATCAGTTATTTTTTTTACTAGTTTTGTTTATGTATCAACCATATTAATGTTGTTGTTGCAACAACAACATTAATATTGTTGATAGCATAAACAAAACTAGTAAAAAAATAATATAAACAAACGAAATCAGACTTCACTATCAAAATATTTTTGGCACCTGAAGGAAACAAATAAGACACCAAAAAAAATGTAAATGGAAAATTATTGACAAGGCTAGAATATGTAAAGCTTGGGATGACCCATGCCCTTTGTGCCTCCATGAAAAATTGCACATTATTAAACTTCTAAATAATAATAATCTATTAAATAATAGACACGAGTTAACAGTTTTTTGTCGGCATCATCAGATTTTTGGTTTGAATTATTAGATAAAAAAAATTATATAACTTGTTTAACAAATAGCCCAATCATCAGATTCATAGTAGGAATAATTAACTACAAACATGCATACAACATAACACACGTCATAATCCATAGCCTAAATTAGTAGTTTAAATACCTTACATATAAGATAACCCTTTATGAAGTCGTCAAAAAACAAACGTTATAGAAAGTTTTTCCTTTTTTTATATGCACAATTCCCTTTCATAATAAAATAAAATAAAATGTAAAGTTAATCCTTAGAATTCAAAATTAATACAGAAAAATGTACAATAAAAGGAATTGGGAATATATATATATATATATATATATATATATATATATATATATATGCAGAAGGAACTAGAGACAAATGACAGTAAGTCCTCTTTATTTCATCTGAAGGTTCTGGAGGCACTTTACATCGTGTCCCGCAAGCCTTCTTTTTGTTACAAACAACGTGAGTGTTAGTTGGGATTCGCTGTCATTTGTCTCTAGTTCCTTCTGCATATATATATATAAATATATATTTTTTCCCCAATTCCTTTTATTTTTGAATCTCCCATTGAAGCCTGAAGAGCGAGAACGAAACCGGTTGCCTCCCCCTTGTCGTTGTTTTTTTTTTTTTTAATATGTCTTGTAATATTAAATTTTATACTGTTATTTCAGTATTTTTTCATTAAATTTTGTACCTAAAAAAATCTTTTTTATATATATATATAATATTATATATATATATATATATATATATATATATATATATATATATATATATATATATATATATATATATATATATATATATATATATATATATATATATATATATATATATATATATATATATATATATATATATCCCATATCCCATATATATATATAATCTATAGTGATGTTGAATATTCCTTGGTTACCTGGCGTAATCTATTTTCCCTCCTTACACATAAAGAAAGTGTGAATGAGAACAATATGTTCTTACCTGATGAACATGTATCTGGCTTACATGCTTTCATATCAAAGGAACTTGTGTTGAAAGAATTTGTTTGTCCCTTGGGACAAGATTCACAGTAATCTTGTTCACCAGACTTCATACATGGTTTTACTTGGTGACCTTTAAATGAATGTTCAGATTTATACTTTTATAATACAAGATTAGTTTTAAGATTAGAAACAAAGTAAGAGTCAAATAAAGAGAATTTACTCAAATTTTAAAGTTGTAGTTACTCTTACTACCATTTAATAGACTAAATGAGTTGATATATTTGAAAACTCGGGCGTTGTAAATAATTTTACTAAATTACATTCGAACAAAAAGATACTTGTATTTAGTTTTAGATTATTCAACATTTTAGATTGTATGTAGCAAAAACAAAAGATCTCTATATTTTATTTAATACATTTCACTTGTAAAATGCCTGTCAACAAAGTGTGTAAAATGAAACAGTTGAATCGTTTTGTCCAAGGTAATACTATTTTGACTTTTGATGGTCACACATCTGGGTGAGTATTGTGTTGCTCTATATGACATTTTGTTCTCTTACAGGGATTTTTGATTCCTCCAGTGGACACAAATGAGTCAGAAAGAACATTTTTTCTAATATGATACACAATTCTACTTCACAGAAACCTTCAATGGTTCACACTTTTATTAAACTGTTATGTTCATGATTTTCCTAATAAATACAGTTATAATCTTGTCTATACTTCTGTTGCATTGTCCATTACACATATTTATTATATTGTCATGTGTACATATTGCTTTGCATATAATTTATTTTTCATTTTTTCCACAATACTTCAAACTATTTACTAGAAGTTAGTTTTTATTGAGATTTTTGGCCATATTTGAAATATAAACGGAGGATTGACCCTAGAATGAATTACAACATGGGCCCTACTTATTCTCAAATAAAGGACTGCTAAAGATATGAAGAGACTGATCTGATGACATGAGGAGATGATGTCAAACAGTTTTTCCTTATGCATAAATATTTTGGCATAATTTTAATTAAAGTTAAATTACCTTGATGAAGAGATATTTGGGCCAATTATCATATGATTGGCTCAAATGTCTCTTCAAACAAACAATACAGTTGTGGATTTATATTGACTTGAATAAAAAATCCTCTTTTTACAATTGCAAAATAGCATTATGTCTTTTAGCAAAAAATGAGATAGTCTGCTATAATAGAAGACATAAGATACAAATGCACTTTTTGTTTCTTTCTATACAAATTCTATTTGGAGTGAATGAACCATTAAACAAAAAATATTTTTAAGATGAAAAATTACATTTTAAGCTATCAATATAAATATCAGCTAAAAATAAGACCCAGGCCAACAAAATATATTTTAAGACATTTCTGAATATACTGACCACAATGAATTTGAAGTTTTCGTAAAGACATATAAAGTTCTGTCAAAATATTTTAAAGTCTATACAAAGTTCTCAAAGAACTTATAAAGTGCTATATAAATATTCGCAAATATACTTATAAAAAAATTACTCTAGTAGCAAGTTTCTACTGTTTCCTTTAAAGTAGTCAATATGTGTGATCAGTAGTTGAACAATACTAGAACATTGAAACCCTTAGTTATGATGATCTGTGTATGTGTATGTATGTGTGTGTGTGTATGTATGTGTACATAGTGAGAGGGAAAGAGACTCAGAAATCAATAAAACCATTATAATCCTAAAATAAATTAATTATTAGAAACTCTCATGTCTCCCTTTGGAAAAAAAATATTCATTTTTATTTAGAATCAATTATAAATAAAAATACTGATTTATGTTGTTGACTTTTTTGAAATTTAGTTCATTTTCTTTTCCAGTTTTTGTCTATATTAATATTTTATTTTTTCAATGCCTTTGACTAAAGGCATCTCATTAATTGTTATTTCAATAGGACAATCCTCATGTCTAAATAGTAGAAATGTCAATTAGGAAAATATTGAATTCATTGTTATATAAGATAATTAACTAATTTGTTTATTCATTATAGCATATTGAACAAACATAACATGATAAATATTTGAACCATTGTTGTATCACAGATTTTACAAGCCCATAAATGCTTAACTGATTGCCTAGCAAAGTTATAATATGGAAATTCAAAAATCAAAGCCTGAACTTTGCAACACCCCACTGTAAATTATCTTCAAGTCATTAAATTTCAATGATTTATTATGAAGTTGAATATTGCATTAAAACTAGTTCAATTGTTAACTCATAGAAATCTGCACAGCTTACAGATTAATAAAAGCACCAAGCTAATGTTTTTAAAAAATTCTTTTTGTGTGGATTTCCTATAAAGTTACTAATTATAGGTAATAAGTAATAAGCAATAATTCATAAGCAATTGGAATAGTAACAAAATGCTTTGTAGAATAAGAAATACTGCATAAAGAAATGATGAGATAATTAAATTGATAAATGATCTCATTTACTTATTTAAATGCATAATGAATGATAAAATTCTATATAAAAATATTGGCATTTTAAACTCACCTGCTTCACAATGTGTGATTGGTTGGCAACATTTTGTAACTTGTTGGTGCCATAATAAACCAGCAGGGCAATGGCCACCAAAATGGCAGTTATCAACTGGAACAAACAAGAGATTCAATTTGAACTTAAGTAAATTATATATGAGGTGTCACACAAAAAATGTCTGAGGCATTTAACCAAGAAGATTATCCATAATCACTTTTGAAGTATTTGCTTTGTGAGTTTGTAGTCACAAATAGTAATGATCTAAAGTGTCGCAGCAAAATGTTTTCACAACATTGAGTTTGAAATAAATATGATATTTGCTAATAAAGAAAGAAAGACAAATGACAGTATGTCTTAAATAGTAGCAGCAGCAATCAAAACATGACAGGCGTTGGAGTCTCTCTTTCGCCGGCTAAGGGACAGGGCGTGCAGTCCGGCCCTACGTGAAATCGCTGTCCCTGGAGGAGGGGGTGGCTCGAGCCAGTGTTATTGCCTTCGCCGATGACGTATCTTCTTTCGTGTCGTCCTGCAGCGACATTGAGGTGTTCCTGAATGCGCTTGATCGGTACGAAAAGGTGACAGGGGCCAAGATTGACTGCGACAAGTCTTCCGGCTTGCGGTTAGATGCCTGGAAGGGAGTCGATTTTCGGGGCCCATCGGTTGGACGGACCTGTCCGCATTCTTGGAGTGTTTTTTTTGGACCCGACCTCCAGCTGGAGAAAAATTGGCCAGAAGTACAAAGCTCGGCGCGGCCGTTCGAATGGTGTTTCTAGCGCTGCTGGCCACGGCCTAAATGGTGATTTGGAAACGCGACAGGAGAAAGTATTGCGAGGTGACCGTCTTTCTCATCAGGATCTAATCTAATTCTTTGAGCATCAGCTCAAGAGGAAAATTAGAACTGATAGAAAGCGATAGGTTTCGACAGATTTCAGCGAAAGATGGGTGACTGAAGCGAGCCTGGTTCGTCTGAACGAGGTTAGCCTTGATTTTCTTTTTTAGGTCCACCTAAGTCGCATTGGGGTGGTTTCCTGTGGAACCCTCCCCTGGTTAGGCTAGACAAGCTTTTTGTACGTAGTTAATGTGAGTAAGTGTAGTTCCCGGCCTGTTTCCGGCTGCTTCTTTTTTTTCATCTCGACTGGGTCGGCTTTCTTCTTTCCCCAAAGCCATATTTTTTATCCTTTCCCCCTCCCTTAGGGAGGGGGAAAGGATAAAAAATGATTTTGTCAAAGGGTAGAATTCAACGGCTTCTCTTTCTTGAGGATTGGACGGGTCCAAATAACATCAATTATCTTTAGTTTTTTTTGTTTTGATATTTTAGTTTGTTTTTTGGTTCATCCTCTCCCCGCTCATTATTTATCATGTACAAATTATTATCTATAGTATTTTATAATCATTAAATTTTTATGTCATGTATTGCGTTTTGTAGACCCCGTTCCCGATTGTATCGAGTGAATGGGTCGTAAATAGCTGGTATAAGATAGTAAGCGACTACTGGCCTCCACCTACTTCCCTCTTTAGGCCTTGTGCCAAAATTGTATATTTTAAACACTAAATATTGCTGAGTTTCGTTTAGTTGAATAAAGCTTAACACTTTTACTGTTGTCCTGAGCTCTGTTTACTCTTACAGTTTATTCAACTAAACGAATAGATAAAATCTAGCATGGAAACAGCATGGAAGACAAAATGTTTGGATGTCGAAACTTGTTTACCAACAGCTGCCAGAGACTACTGCCATTGGTGAACTATCCTACTAAACTATATAGATGATTACAAGAAAAGAATACCAAACAAATACCACGCTCTCTTGAGTTGTATAAGTCCCAGTGTATTTGAGTATATCAAAGGATATGCAGACTTCGACGTTACTATAAGAAAATTGGACGCTTTATTTATTAAAATGCCCAATAAGGTGTTCGCAAGGCACCTGTTGGTCACAAGTTGACAGAAGCCAGGAGAGTCCTTGGACGAATTTTTCAGAGAACTAGAAAAGCTGAAAAGAAACTGAAATCCATGCTGCTGAGGAATGCAATAACAAAGCTATGAGAGACGCCTTCATTGAAATGAAGTTCGAATTCCATACGGCAGCGTCTCTTAGAAAATAAAACCCTAGATCTACAAACAGCTTACACTCAAGCGCCTGGACTTAGCACAAAGAAATAATGACTTATATACTTCCCCAGAAGCGCAAATGGCAGCGATAGTCGACTCTGACCCCGCAAAGTTATGTGATGAATTTCCAGTTGAACCAAAAGTAGCCACGACTTGTCAAGCCAAACGTAAATGTTTTTTTTTGTGGATTTGCCTACCGTTTGCAGGACAGTTGTCCTGTTCGTAGAGCTACTTGTAAAAAATGCTCAAAGGAAGGACACTATGCTCATGCATGTCGGTCCAAATCTTTGTTAGCAGCAGTGGCTGGGCCTCGTATACTGACAACACTTGCTAACAGACCACGGGATCTCTATACCGCTGCAACGCATGTAGTGGTTAATAAAAAAGTGCTCTACTCGATTCCTGTAACAATGATAATTATATTAGCGAAAGAGTCGTGCGAGAACTGAATTTGAAAGTCCACCCGTACAGTAAGGGTATCACCATGGCCCAGAAAATGTTAAACACTAACTCAAGGGGCTATGTAGTTGTAAACCTAATCCTTTGCCTTAACGGTATGTACGTAGGTGTTAGTTCCACTCGTCTAGGTGTTTTGAAAGATTTATGTTCTGACGTGATACTTGGTCAGGATTTTCTGCGTCAGCATCAGAAAACGACATTCAAATATCGTGGCCCCCTGCCCGAATTAACTGTGGACAGTAGTCATCAGGTTTATGCATTAAACGCAGCGGAGATAGAAAACCCTTCACTATTTCCCAATTTATCACCAAACTGTAAACCCATTGCCGTCAAGAGGATCAGTCCTTCATCAATAAAGAAATTCGGATCCTGCTTTCTGAAGGCATAATCGAAGAAAGTGTTTCTCAGCTGGTAGTGGTAAAGGACCCCACTCACCGTCATAAAAAAAAAACAAATGTGCGTAGATTACTCGCAAACGATAAATCTGTATACAGACGGTATGTTAAACTCAGGGCATATGGAAGGGCCGCACCTGCTTACAGTCTTACATTAATCACAGCTAGTAGTAACTAAACTTTAAATATAAAATACTTACAATACAAGGTAGTACAATTTAATCACTTTTAAGTTGTCCTGATTGACACCGCTTTAAACAAATCTATCTTTGCTCAAAGATAACAAATGTTCATCAGTTAATGTGGTTCTGTGAGACGTTTTTGTGGCCTTCATAAACGAAAATAACTGCTCACAAACATAATCTTTGTGGCAAACTTTCTGAAGTTCTTAAATATTTGAGGCAGGTATGAAAAAAATCCGGGTACCCCTACTTCTAAGTACTTTCCCTTGAGTGTTGAGTCTGTCTGCATTTCCAGTAGTCCCATCTGTAGACTTTCCTCTGCCTGAGCAACATCAAAAGTGAATAGTGCTGAGAATAATGCAAATCGATCTTCACAAGATGAAAAATCACAAAATCTTCGCTGAAATTCCTTTGACAGCAGTTCCAGGTAATTGTCGTATTTAGCAAAGATAAATACAGACTCAGTATTGGCAGTTTTTTTTCAACTCCTTGCACATAGAAAAATGAATCAAGTTTTCATGTGACAACTGGGACTTCAATAAAGCTAATGAAACACTTGATATCATCATATAACTGAGTGATTAGTTTATTTTTACTCAAACTCAATTGGGCAATAATATCCACTGATAAAGCTAGATCTTGGAGCCAGATTTCATCTTTCAATTCATCTGTACTTTGACCCTTCATCTCTAAAACATAACAATTTCGTGTCGCAATAAAAATTCTTTTCAGTACCTTGTGACACGAAAGCCACCGAACTTCTGTGTAGAATGGGACATTTGTGAACTGATTATTCACGTCTTCCAATAACTGGCTAAACTGATGGTGATGCAGAGCACGACCTTTGATATAGTTCACTTTGTGACAAAACTCAATACATAAAATCTTAGAACATAAGTTCTGTTGATGAATTATACCGTGAAAAGGCTTGAATGTTGAATCTGGATATATGTTTTCTATTTTTGTACCGAACTTGGCATCAACACCATTATGTCTCCCAACCATATTGGCAGCACCATCAGTAGATAAACGCATAAGTTTGCTCAAATCAAGGCCATACTCATGGAGAAGCTGTTCAACTTTCTCAAAAATGTCCTGGCTTGTAGTATCATGCATTGGGACCAGTTCAATTCAGTCAGTTATGTGCCATGCATGATACACGCTTAGGCGATCATTTATCTTTCGATACATAACTGACGAGTGCAGGTTTTTTCCCCGCAGTAGGTTGCCATTTCTTTCTGCGGTAGACCAGTTGTCATAAAAGGAACTGGTCTGTTCTGCTATTTATCCGTATTTGGGGGAAAAGAAGAGGATTCATACCTTTCCCAAGGGTATTAGCACGTAAGTGAATGCAATGGATTTGACTGGAATTCGAACTCGGCTCTGCGATTCCTCTATCCATTACACCACAGTTTTTCATAAATTTGAAAGTCATTGTCACAAGCCCTGATGAAAACGGCGAGCTGTGCTATTCCAGATGTTTCAACAGTTTCATCCAGAGCAATAGAAAAATGTTCAAATTTTGATGATAAAGTCTTCAACTGTCGACTCAAATCACCGGTAATTTCATCAATCCGTTCAGCAACAGTGTCCCCGTTTAATTAAATGTCTTGAAATAAGTATGACATCCCTGGACATACAATTACTGCTGATTTTACAAGACATCGCTTTATGAAATCTCCTTCACTGTAAGATTTTCCACTGATAGCGATCATTTTGCAGAGTTCAAAGTTTGCAGTAACAGAACTAACGTTGTCTTTCTGAATTTTTATAAAGCAACTCTGTTGCTGTGTGAACTTAACCTTGAATTCCCTCACTTTTGAAACATGCATATCTCCTTTATATTTATCATAAGATCAATGATTTGTTTCATAATGTCTTTTCACATTATATTCTTTTGGCGTCGCAATGCAGTGGTTGCAAATCAAACAATTTATCTTTCCATTAACAGTGGTACAAAAAAAGTACTGTAATTCCCACTTTTTTCGGAACAC